AAAGAAAAAGAAGAAGAAGAAGAAGAAGAAGAAGAAGAAAAAGAAAAAGAAGAAGAAGAAGAAGAAGAAGAAGAAGAAGAAGATAACAGACGTTACTTTCTTATGGCTCAACGTTCCGATTTTTTCATACCTGTTGTTTTTACTTTTAACATTGATATCGAATACCTTACCCCTTACCTAAGGGTTAAAAAAAAATCAAAAGACTCTACCAACTTATTAATCTAAATCCTTTCAAGCTCCTTCCGTGGGTGGTTGGTGGGTGCTGTGGTGTGGTTTACTTCTTCTTTCCTATCAAACATCTATCGTCTTTATCTCCACTCCTTTTTTTTTGTTTTTGTTACTCCCTTGTAACATTTCTCATCTTCGGCACTTAGGCCTATATGGCCTTATTGTGTTGCAAGTGCCGTAAAACACTTACAAAAGCTAAGCTCCTTCCCTACCCTGCACTCTTCCACACTCAGACAACTGCAAAGAATGCCTTGCCAGCTCTATAACCCACCTTTTTCCTGCCCCACTGTTCTTCTCTCTTCCCCCGTCCTCTCCCTCCACACCTCTCCCAATCCTCTTCCTCTCTCTCCTCTCCCTCCTCTCCCCCTCCTCCCTCCCCCATCCCCTTCCTCTCCCTCCTCCTCCTCCTGTCTATTTCTTCTTGTTCTTGTCCTTTTTTTTGTTCCTCTTCTTTTTCTGTGCTTGTGAAAATATTGATTGTTTTTTGTATGGGAAGATGGCCCAAGCGTAATGATGTAAAGATGGGTGTGAATCTGTCGTCTGATATTCCTTTCCCCCTCCCCCCTCAAATGTTTGCAGGAGGGCTGCTTCCTGCAGATCCACAACGCGTACAGCATCCACCGCGGCATCAAGGCCAGACTGCCCCACAGTTTGGACAAAGCTTACGGTCTTGTCCTTGTACATGGTGAGCCAGACTTTTCGACATCACCGCCGGCGGCAAGCGGTTTAACTGTCTCTTATACTAAGAAAGCTAAAGTTTAGAATTTAGTGGAGAGAGAAGAAAAAGTTGTTTCATTCTTTTAACAATTGGACCTACGTTACGTACTTATTTTTTTCGGTTCTTTTTTTTTTTCCTTTTTTTTTGTTCCCAGCGTTTAGAATTTGGAATTTTGAGAATATATTTTTCATGACAACATGCAGCTGGTACGACAGATTAAGAATCTGCAATAATTTTTTACAATTTCAAAATTCTAGGACTAGTGCGTTTTAACAACTTGTCGCCTCTTAACTATTTTGTCACAACCAAAGTACCATTTTACTTAAGTACTCTTTGGACAAAATAGTCTGTGGCGACGAACTGTTGGACGACGTACTTTTGTCGCACGACCAAGTTTTGTGGGTGGTTGGCGGGTGCTCTGGTGTGGTTTGCTCCATCTTTCCTATCAAACAATCATGTATTGTCTTGATCTCTCCTCCTTGTTGTGTTTGTTCCTCTCTTGTAACACCTCTAATCATGACCTTATTGTGTTGCAAGTGCCGCAAAACACTTACTACAACTAAAAGGAAAGGTTTTGTTTTGAGACTTTGGGGGCCCTACCAGAAAAAAAAGTAACCTGCAGTGACACACGCAACACGGCACGGGGGCTTGATTACCTGCTGATGCTTGCTTTGTGAGTTACTTCCCAGTAAAACATTGAATGTCCCACCATTTATATGACTTTCCAGTAAAACCTCTACTGTTCGGCATTTTATAACTTGCTTCGTATGTTGCTTCCCAGTAAAACGTCTAATGCTCAGCATTTTATATGACCTACATATGTTGCGAGTGTTGTAAAACTGGTACTGTGGGTGGATGGCGAGTGCTCTGGTGTGGTTTGCTTCTTCTTTCCTATCAAACATCTATCGTCCTTATCTCCCCTTTTTCATGTTTGTTACTCTCGTGTAACACCTCTAATCTTCGGCACTTGTATGACCTCATTGTGTTGCAAGTGCCGTAAAACTCGTACTAAAACTTTAAAAAACCGGTAATGTAACTAAGCTCACAATGTCTCCTCAGGACACGTGGCGTCCAACCTTCAAACCACGGACCCTGACGTCTACATGTCCACAGACGGAGGTTACAACTTCAGAATGGTATGGAACAAGGGACTATCTGATCTAAATTGGGACTAAAAAGTCTTGAGTCTTGAGACTCTGAGGGTTTTTTTGGGGGGGGGGGGAAGATATTCTTTCATTATTTGTGATAGGTATTGGAAGTAAGTATTTAATTGTAAACAAATATATTAATTTAACACATTAGACCCTAACTCGCCTGGGAATTCCCTTACGCGCTCCACCTTGACTCGCCCGGAACCGCCTGCACCGACCTAGCGTCTTTAGAAACAAAGTCTCGCCTTGACCAGACTCTGGGGCCGAGATTTTGATTTGCATAGTCATAGCAAAAAGTTTCTTCTTTCGTTTGATACCGAAACGAAATTTTTCAGGCCAGTAGTTTTAGTATTAAAGCCGAACAAAGTGCGATCGCGTTACCGACACTTCGTAGGTGTCTCGACTTATTGAAAAGCGACACAATTGAGTTTGGAAAAGGAAATAACGATGGATTTGAGTTAGAGCAAAAACAAGCATATGACAAATCAGATGACTCAGATTTTGATGAAAACGTTGTAGCAAGAGTTTGGGGTGATTCAGATTGATCAGACGTAGAAAATCTAGAATTTAGATCTAGGGCCCGACCAATAGGCTGAGAGTGAGAGTGACGGGTCGGACACCCCGATTGAACTAAAGTTAGAACATTTCCAACAGTTTGCGTTTACATAAAGTTATATTTTTCTGAAACTACATTCATTTTTTGTTTTAACTTTTATTTTTTCAGGATTTTTGGAATTTGTTAAGTGTTTTTAAAATGTGTCTTTTGAAGGCTTGTATTCAGGGGAGGTGGGTTCCTTCCCCTTGCTTAGGATCTAACAATGTAGCTCCCGTCCAGGCCCTTAGGGTGTAATGTGTTAAACCTCTTGGTTTACCGAAAATTTGCTGTGACTGACAGCTTCTTGTTGCGATAGTCACTCCCCTCATTTTATGTTTGGAAATATCATCGGCCCATTGCATATCAAAAGGGAGTGTTAATTTAATTAGGGTTTTAAGATAGTGACCCCCCTAATTTTATGTTTGGAAATATCATCAGCCCATTGCATATCAAAAGGGAGTGTTAATTTATTTAGGGTTTTAAGATAGTGACCCCCCCCCCCACACACACACACAATTCTCAGTCCCAAAAGCAAGCACTTCAACAAGCCGTGTGGGTGGTTAGCGGGCGGGTGCTCCCAGTGGTTTGCTCCTTCTTTCGTATCAAAGATGTATCATCCTTTTCTCCCCTCCTTCTTTTTTGTATTTGTTACTCTCTTGCAATATTTCTAATTTTTTCCTCTTATGCGACCCAGTTGTGTTGAAAGTGCTCTAAAAGATAAGAGATAAGATAAGATAAGATAAGATAGTACTCTATTATCCCAGAGGGAAATTTTCCTTGGCTGTACAGGACCGTAAAAACACATGCAGGTATACATAAAAAAAATTAAATCATAAATATTACTCTTATTAAAATTCAATATGAAAGGAGAAGTAAAGCTGACAAAATGTACATATCAAATGCATCATTCAACCACATGCAGGAATTTCAATACTACACCTTTGGAGTTATATACAGATACATACTCTAAGAGCAACACACATCTATGCTCATTCTGACAAAAGCCTTATGCTAGATGGTAAAAAACTTCTTTTATACCTTTCTTTCTTTGTTTTTGGAGGTACATATCTGCTGCTGCGTGATCTTACAATTTGTGTAAGATCACGCAGCGGCAGATATGTACCTCCAAAAACAAAGAAAGAAAGATATAAAAGAAGTAAAAGATATAAATGCTTACAAAGACATTATACAAAAACAGCCAGTCCCCCAGGGCCGTGCTACTGACTGAAGTGTTTTGAGGCCATTGCCAATTGGGGGGGG